TGAAGAAGGACAAGGAGGAAGAGTTGTTATTACTGCGACTTATGGGCCTTGAGTGCCCCCAACCCAGGTTTGGTTCTGGACTGTCAGCTCGGTTTCCTTTCTCCATCCAGACTGCCACACATACCCCACCTGAACCCTGAGAAACTGGTATGAATCCTTCCTGATATGGGGATTGGTGGCCCACAAATGGAGCTGAGCTGCAGACCTTCTTCCCAGGCAATTTACAGAGTCACCTGTGGAACAAGATTTTCCTTCTTCATTTGCTGATTCATTTAACTGACGTGAACCTAGATGGTGCTCACAGATCTGTAATGGCCTCATTAATACCTTGGCTCTTTCTGCTTTACATCATGCTGCTGAGAAATGTGGGTTACAAGTGACAAAGCCCCCTCTCGGCCTGGCTTAAATGAAAAGGCGTAGTTTTTGCCCCATCGGAATGAAAGCCCAGGGAGGAAACTGGAGTCAGGCAGGCTGGGTCCAGGTGTTCCAAGGGTGTCAACAGGACTGGGTCTGTCCACTGCCCAGCTCTGCTCTCCTTCATACTGTCTGCTTCTCAGGCTGACTCTCCCCAAGTGGTGGTGAAGGTGGCCCACAGCAGTCCCAGGCTTACCTCCTAGCACTTAGTTACATCTGCAGAAAAAAGTGTATCTCTCTCCCAGTCGATGAGGAAAAGTCCCAGGATTTCCTCTGATTGGCTTAGCTTGAGTCACATGCTTACAATGAGCCAATCATTGAGTGGAGGGTGGGTCTTACTGTCACTAACCAGGTCTGGTCACTTGTCCATTCTTGAGCCAGGGGTTGGGGTCAGCCTTGCCTGACCACATGGTTGACAGTAGGGTAAGGATGGTTTCCCAAAAGGAAGGGAAACCATTATCAGAAAAATGATGCTGGGCAGGCAGACCCCAGGGAGATAACCAAGAGCCCTACCCTCTGGGGGTACTCTTGAGAAACACATTCATAGCATGATCTCGGACATTCTTGCAACCCCTTCCCCAGCTCCACTGACTTCTGTCAGCTGCAGGATGACACCCTCGTCTCTAGCTAAATGTGTTGTCTTCCCACAGCACCCATCTCCAAGAAGATGGATATGAATGAAGACTCCATGGGCAGACTGCCTGGGTTTAAATCCTGGCCTCCCCTCCTTTACAGCTGAGAGACCGCAGAAGTTTTTTAACAGCTCTGTGCCTCAGTTTCCTCATCTCTAAAACAGGGACAGTAACAGCACCTGCCTCATAGCCTTGCTAGTGGAAACCCTCAATAAATGTAGCTGCGATAATTACGATCTTGCCTTTCGGAGGGTCTTAATTCTAGTGCCCCAGTCCCGAAGCCATGTTTGCCATCCTCCCCAGCAGACCTTGGGGCCTTCACGTAAATCAGACACCCGATGCCGGCTTCTATTCCAGAGCTGTAAATGGGAACATGTACTTATGTAGATATGCTTATATGGAGCACTTACTATGTGCTAGGCACTGTGCTAAGCAATTTACATAGATGACCCCATTCTCTTCCAACACAAAAGCTATAAAGTATGAACTGTTATTAGCCCATGTGGTTCAAAAAGGTAAAGTAACTTTCCGAACCCGAATGTTTGCCATCCTCCCCAGCAGACCTTGGGGCCTTCACGTAAATCAGACACCCGATGCCGGCTTTTATTCCAGAGCTGTAAATGGGAACATGTTCTTATGTAGATATGCTTATATGGAGCACTTACTATGTGCTAGGCACTGTGCTAAGCAATTTACATAGATGACCCCATTCTCTTCCAAACAAAAGCTATAAAGTATGAACTGTTATTAGCCCATGTGGTTCAAAAAGGTAAAGTAACTTTCCGAACCCGAATTCATGTAGGTCAACTCATACAGCGCAAGTGGCCGGCTCCTTCCAGTCCCCATATTAATTTCTTTGTTTCCAACATGCCCTGCCAAGGTGTCCATTTCAGTGATGTCAAGCATAGAAATACCAGCATCTGCACAGACCCAGCAGGACAGAGGCTCCTGGTGACTGCCTCTTCCTGGCATCCAGATACACAGACACTATTTACACATGTGGTTGCAGGAGGGAAGGGACAGAGGTGAATTCCACTCTTTGTCCCTGGTAGGCCCAGCACAGGACCCTGCACATAGTAAGTGCTCATTAAAGGTCAGTTAAATGAAAGGATAAGATGAAAGAAACGAATAAAGAAGGAATGGGGTGGTTGTCCCCCTGCATTTCCTCCTCAAGTGAGGGCCCGCATCCAGCCCCATACTCTGCTGCCGCCATGTGGCCATTAGTAAGATGGCAGTCAGGGTGAGTAGCCTCTAATTTTTGTGAAAAATTTCACACTTACAGAAGAATACAGAGAATAGTACTGTTAATAGTACCATTATGCCTATCATTTAGATTTAACAATTATATTTTCCAAGTTTTCTTTACCATTTTTGAATTTCAAATAAATCACCGACATCATGACATTTCCCCCGGATGACATTAGCTTATGTCTCTAAAAATGACATTTTTCTACATGATGGTCCCATTATCACACTGAATACAATTAATGATAATTTATCAATATAATATAATACCTAATCCATATTCAAATTCCTTTATTATTCCAAAAATGTCTTTTAGAAGTTGGTTCAATTCAGGGTCCAAACAAGGAAATAACAGGTGTTACATCTCTGAAGTCCCCTTTTTCTAGGACAGCGTCTGCTGTCCATGACTCACTGAGCTCTGGCTCGTTCTCTGGCAGAATGACCCGCAGCCTGCATTTGTCTGATTGCTTCCTTGGGTTGTCAGTTCACTGGCTGCTGCTGACTTCCCCTGTATGTCTTCTCAACTGGGGGTTGGATCTAAGCCTTTGATCAGATTCAGTCTCACCATTTTTGGCAAGAACACTTCCTAGGCAACGTGTCCTTCTTCTTACATCACATCCGGGAGGCGCGCGCTGTTTGGTGGCCACTGTTAGAAACGATAAGCTTGAATGATAGGTTCAGGTGGGTTCATCACATTCCTCCCTCGAAAAGCTGCATTTTCCTTGTGAGCAACAAGTGGACTGTAACCTAATCATTTGGAACCTGACAAATATTTGGCTCCCCATCAACCAGCACTTAATGGCTTTATTACCCATTGGTGATCATTGCTGGAAACAATATTTTATAAGGTTCAAATCTCAAATGATATTGGAAAAATTTTTTTATTAGGAGCTGCAAAATGATTTTCTAATTGTATCTTTTCTCCTATATTTATTAGCTAGAATTCTCATCAACAAGGGCTAGTAGTTGCCTATAGTACAACTCATTCTGGAAAGGAAGAGTAAATGCTTAACCCTTTCCTCTTCTTCATCCACTTTTAGAGTGAGAAACTGACAGGACTACCTCCAATGGCAGCAGATGAGGGCTTTCCTTTCCTCTGCTGAGACTCATTATCAATTTCTGGATTTAAAAATATTCAGTGCATTTCAATCAGTTGCAACTAATGTTCTCTTTGATGCCTAAGTCAGTAGAAGCAACTTCAAGCTGGCTCTCACATCCACTAGTCTCCAACACCTTCCTTATTTGGGACACAATAAGATGCTCCAGGCTCATCTAGCACCTGCCCAGCCCCAGACCTTAAGCCAGCTATCTCTCCAAGGAGCTCTGCTTCCTTTCAGTAGGGACAGCACTGAGAGACCCCGAGCTGCACGTGGTAAGTGGTAGAGCTGAGATTTGGACCCAGGCAGTCTGAATTCAGAGCTAGCGCACTTAATCTCTATACCCTCTGGTTAATAATGTTTATTAGTGATAATAGTGATCATGATAACAATTACTCCTACTGCCA